CGCCCTTATGTTTAGTGGGCTTGTTGTTGTTGGGGCTGGGGACCCAATCTCTGTGTGTTGGGATGATGATATCTCCCTACTGACCTGTTGTCCTGACTCCCCCTTGCTGCAGCATGTCAGTTGTACCTCATCAATTTCTAGTTGTGATAGGAGCTGCCGTTTGCGGATGTTAGAACACTTAGTAGTTGTTTCTTTGTCAGTGTCGATGATGGTTGTTGGAGCTGCCATAATTCCCATAGTCTCTGCATGTAATCTCTCTCACTGGGGACGCTTGTATAGTAGCATTTCATCAGTACCAAGTTTTCTGCTCTAGTCCATCTATGTCTTGTTCCAGTAGCCAATTTGTCATCAAGTTGCCCTGGTTCCCTAGCAACTGACGCGGACCTTGTTAACCTGGGCAACGTCCGAGCCGGTATGGCTCTTGTATTTTTTTATTTGCCTGAGGTAGGCCACTAAGCACAAAGGACCTTGCCTAAGGGTCCACCTGGATGTCACCTGTCACCTGTGCCGAAGTCGTCGGTGTTACCTACCGAGCTATCCAGTTGTTATATATATATAAAATATGTGAATTTTAGTGACTGAAACCATTTTGTACGAGTGGTGTTGCCATAGATGCTGGTTTTGAACATTAGATAGTATTAAAGTAACAAATTAATTTAGAAATATTTTAACAGTGACGGTAACAAAATAAACCTTAAGAACATAAAACATATTTTGCTTCCCTTTGAGAAAACAGATTATTTCCTCTAAGTATCATTAACAATGTGTCTAGCTTGTGCATATGGTTAATTTCAAGGGTTGGATTATTTTATCAAATTTTCCTTCTCTTTTAGTAGTTTATTTCCTCTCTGTGTGCCTTTGATTGGCAGAGTCATTGGTTTCATTTTACTCCAAAATCAAAATGCCTGTTTTTCTTGTCCAACCTCTTCTAATTTTACACATCCTGTTAAAGCGATGAGTGATGCTGCCTAATCTGAAAAACAAGCACTTCCAGATTATTTGGATTGTTTTGAGACATCGTTGTTCAGACTCTCTGATTTATCTCTGAGTCTTTCTGAAAATCTTCCTGGAAAATGAAACTGAACCAGGCTTTGGACAGTTTCTGCTTTGAACAAGTTGTTTTCCAGACTGAGCTGTTTTCAATCCACCTTCCCATTAGCTGAGCCGCTCAGCTTCCCTGTTAATGAACCATATCCCCATAGCATTACTGTGTCTCTACTTTGCTTCATGATAGGGATAAAGTGCTCAGTGTGACAATGTTTACCTCACATACCGTAGTATTTTGGTCTGATCTAACCAGAGCCTTCCGTCTTCCTCAGGGCTTATGTGGCAAACCATAGAGGTTACTTCTTAATTTAAGCAATTAAATATTCTTGTCCGGCTTCCATAAAGATGACATCGATAGATCTACTGAGGCTGTGGTTTCCTAAAGCTCCTCCAGAGTTGCCAGGCTCTTCTTTGGTGATTCTCTGAATAATGTTCTGTTTCTATTTCTGCAAAGGAAATAAATATTCAAACCAAGTTTTTCTTCTTCCAGTCCCTTAAGGAATAAATCTTCCTTGTATTTCTACATCCTGCTTGTGAACTGAAGCTCTCAAACAGGACACCAAATAAAGACGTTGACTCCACAGCTGGATTTCAACAAAACCTTTTTTTTTATTATTTCATATTTACCGTTTATAAAATCAGCGAGTTTGACATGATACCAACTTAAACACAGTGCGTGACTCGGGTTTGTCGTGTTTTGTGTGGTTTGACTTGTGTGTCTTTTTTTTTTTCTGTGTTTGTGTGCCTGTGCATTTGAATGGGTGTGTCGTTCTTCTGTAAGGCATCATGCAGTCGTTGGTTTCTGTTGTCCTCCAAAATAAAAATATACACACGTTTTTCTGGTAAATCCTCTATTATGACTCACACATACACTTACGCACACTCCTAAAGCGCTGGGTGGATAATCAATGGTGTGATTCTCAGCTACAGGGAAGGGACTATCTGATCGGCCTAGACAGCAGAGAGGGGAGACATTCAGCGCAGATAAACTCACAGAGCTTTGCTACAAGAAAAACTTCATTCCTTTCTTTTTGATGAATATTTTTACACTGATACATCAATGGTTTTTTGTTGCTGAAATCAGTCAGAAGACCAAAGGCGGCCCAGTTCAGTTAAATATTTGGGTCATTGGCGCTGGAAGGCCCAAACTTGTCACCTAATGATGCCGACATGTGAGCTGTTGTGGTCATACGATTCAAGCTGGGAATGATCATAAAACAGCTTAAGGTGACTAGTCTAAGTTTTTTCACCAGCCACCTGGAGCTCCAGAGGCTTTTGTTTATTTGCAAGTTTTCATTGAAACTTTATTTACTTTAAAGGACAAATAAATTGTCCAAAGTTGCATGGAAGCTTCCTCTTCACCCAAATCTAACCAGTAAACAAAAATCTGATTGTTGAACGCTCAAAGATCTTTCCTCTTACCCACACTTTGCAGACACAAACACTTTACGGCATGGACAGGCTTCGGAAAAAGCTCATGCATAACATCACGTTGCACTGTGGACCACTTCTACTGCACTAACCCTGTTCCTAAATGCTGATGCGAACATATTGAGATTGTTTAGCCAATAGGTTGCAGAACACAATGCCCCATGCAAATCCGTGAAGCAGCGAGGCCGTGAAATGTGAACCGCGTTTTATCAAGGGTTCACTGTATTATTATTTTTTTTTCAAATTGTTTTTAATGAAGCAAATGGTAAGATAATCACATTAAGAAATACAATTCGCCTTTTTTTTTTTTTGGGATAAACATACTTATGCAGGTATAACTTCATATATATACACATAAGTACAAATGTTGAAATAGTCACACCTACTACATATACAGACAATAAAAACAAAACAAAATAAGAACAATAAAAGAAGAGAACAAAACACCCCATTCCCACCCTGTCTCAGCCCGACATGTTCAGCAGAGAAATAAAATAGATAATAATAATAGGGGAAAAAAAACAGCAGCCAAATGCAGCAACAGGCACATATGTTTAGTTAGGTAGGAGCTCCACATTTATCTTCAATTTCTGGATAGATTTTACTGAGTCTGGACTTCGAGAAATGGACTCTATGAAAAACTTTGAATTGAATTATACCGAGACGAGCACAAGAGGTAGTAGACCGTATTCTTTCAATTGCATCTGCCCAGAGATCTTCATGTAGCTGTATTCCTAACTCTGATTCCCATGCAGTCTTGATTTTGGTATCCCACTGACAGTTTAGTTTCAGAATGGAATTATATATCTTTGAAATGAGTCCTCTCTAAGAAGGACTATATAAAAGCAAGTTTTCCCAAGGCAATTCCTGGGGCATTGAAGGAAAACTGGGAAAGAGTTTTGAGACAAAACTACGAATCTGAAAGTAGCTAAATAAATGAGTACCTGGAAGATTATACTTAGAAGACAAATTAGTAAAACTATCAAACACTCCACGTACATACAGATTCTTTACATGTCTAATTCCTTTATCATACTAAACTGAAAAAAGTGAGTCTGAAAGAGATGGGGGAAATAAGTGGTTATTAGTTAAGGAATCAGAGAAGATGCAGTTAAAAATTTATGTCGCCGTCTAAACTGGTACCAGACCTTGAGGGTGTTAAGTACCACTTGATTATCTGTATATAGAGAAGGTTTTGTAGGCAGAGAAGAATATAACAAAGCAGGTATGGAGGACCCTATGCAAGATGATTGTTCTAATTTACACCAAGGGAAGTGAGGAGATTCCAACCAGCAACAGAGTTTTTGGATGTGAGCAGCCCAGTAATATATCTAAAAATTTGGTAATGCAAGTCCACCACTGAGTTTACACCTCTGCAAAAATGTTTTACGGATCCTAGGTGGCTTTCCATCCCATAAAAAATTAGCAATTGTTTTATCTAAAGAATCAAAAAAAGTTTTTGGCAGAAAAAGAGGTATTGATTGAAACAAAAACAAGAATTTTGGTAAAATATTCATCTTGACAACATTTACTTTGCCAATCAATAAAAGTGGGAGACTACGCCATCTTTGAATATCTGAGTTTATCTTCGAAATAAGGGGGGTAAAATTAGCTGTTAGTAGGCCTGATAAGGAACGTGTCACATTTATACCCGGATATTTGAACCCAGATAAAGTAAGCTTAAAAGGTAAGTCGGATTGTTGGAGATCACAAGCAGCACTGTTTACAGGAAAGCACTCACTTTTCTCCATTTTTAATTTATAACCTGAAACAGAGTTTTATTTTTCCTAGAATACTTAAAATGATAGGTAGGGAAGAAGCAGGATCAGTTACATATAACAACAAATCATCTGCGTATAATGACAGTTTGTATTCGGTTGTATTAAGTGTTATCCCTCTGAATAAGGGAGAAGATCGTAATGTTATAGACAGAGGCTCTATAGTGATAGCAAAGAGTAAAGGCGATAGCGGACACTCTTGATGAGTTTGGGTTCACTGTATTAACCTTGTAAATGTTAGTGACTGTAGTAATTTGTAAACCATTAATGAAGGACTCCGACAACAGCTTGTCTTTAGCCGGCAGGCATATTTACTCAATTGTCCTTTACCGGGCACCATACATGTACACAACCCGCCTCTGGTACGGAAAGCCCCGAGGGCCATAACACACCACAATGACTTTAAAAATAAGAGCAAAAATACTTAATAATGAATTTTTTTTGTTTTTTAAAGTTTAATTTATTTGGGTACAATTTTTCTAATACCCAATTATCTGTCTGGAAATAGTGTTTTTGTTTTTCACGATTATTTACTAGAAAGAAAAGGAAGCAATACATTTAGTTTTTGGTAAACCAATGTCTGTTTCTATAGTTTTGCATTTGAGTTTTATTCCAATCATTATTCATCTAATCAGAGAAAAACAGATGAGGACACACAGCCCTGAAAAACCACTTCAACTCTTATTTACTCTTAATGTTTGAAGTTTCTGTTAATAATTAACATATGAAATAAAAAAAACAACAGCCATTTTTAAGAACAATCTTTATTGGGCAGAAATGAAAAAGTACAGTTTAGGTTTGAAGAAGACATTTTGTTCACAAGCAGAAGGGGAGCTCTAGATAACCTGAGGTTTTTCCTCTTTTTCAGGACATGTACCTGAACGCTGGTGGTGTGACTGTTTCCTTTTTCGAATGGCTGAAAATTCTAAACCAGGTCAGTTATGGAAGGCTGACGTTCAAGTACGAGAGAGACTCAAACTACCACCTTCTGAGTGAGTTCAAAATGCTCCCTGGTTCTAACATTACCTCCTGAACATGATTGGGGGGAAAAGAAGGTGTGTGAGATTTAATCAGTAAAAACTACATCAAAATTCATAGGAAGGAAAATAAACTCTTTCTTCTGAAGTTTATTTTTAAAGACATTCTTTTTCTGCATTGATCATGAGGTTGATCAGTTTTGGTTTCTATCAGATGACTCGCTGGAGCTGATTTCTGATTCTTGAAGCAGTCGTTGCTTTTTAACGTGGATCAACAGCTTCTCCGTTCAAAATCACTCTAAACATTCTCCAAAATCTTTCTCTTTTTTCCGCTTTGCCCTGTATGAGACATTTCCCAGTTGTTAGGAATAATTGAATGGTACCTTCTTCTGTCTTCCATGTAACACAGACTTCTATAGTAGAACTTGGCTCTCCATAAGCTGCATTTAGTCTTTTGCGCCATGCTCCTACATCTTTGGTATAAAACATAAATTTGTCTTCCTTATCTCCATCAAGAGTGGCATACAGAGTTTCTGGATTGTCACTTAATTGTCGATCTCATTGTCTTTTTCTTGCCTGTTTGGAACCATCTTGATGAAACCGCCTGGGCCTCTACATTAAAAGGAAAAACAAGAGACATATTAGACGCACCCCAGCTACTTTGACATGAGGAAAAGCAGGTCAGGTGATATATTAAATTTTTTTTTAAACGGAGTTTGATTCATGTGGACTTAAAGTTTATTTAAAAGCTGCCTTAGAAGCTTCAGTTATTCAGGAATTGGATTGGTTTCTGTTCTCATAGATTACAGCAAAAAATAGCTTCACTCACCTGTTCTTCCATGTTTTCCAGTTTTTGTTTCAGAGTATCTTATGCTGGTGAAGATTCTCAATCCATATTATTTCTTGAGGAAATTACTTTTTATTTGTATTGTGTTCAATTTTTTTTGGAAACAAATAAAATGTTCATACAAAGGTGAGTGTTATTTCTTTACACATTCCCCTCCTAGGACTCGTCAGAAATAAGGTGGTGTGGAATAAAATCTGGGATCTTTCTATGTGGAATTTCCATGCATGCATGCTTAGGATTCCACTGGATGCTTCAGCTTCCTCATAAATGCATCAATCTGGTGTTAGAATTTTTTCAGCCCTATGAGATCTAAAAAACACTGGTGTTTCTGAGGATCTGTGTTTTATTATCATTATTTTTTAAAGACTGCAAAAAAATTTAGTTTCTGTGAAAAAATTGCTAGCATAAAGCTCATTTTGGAGGTAACTTATATGCAAGCCAAATATATATATGTATATGTTCCATTAAAGTAAATCAGTTTTTTTAAGATCAGAGAATGATGTGAAAAACGACTGACCATCAGGAGCTATTCAGGAACTATTTTTTAATTTAAATATGTGAATTTTAGTGACTGAAATCATTTTGATCAAGTGGTGTTGCCATAGATGCTGGTTTTGAACATTAGATGGTATTAAAGTAACTTAAATTAAATTAAAGTAAATTAAAGTAATTAATTTGGAAATATATTTACAGCAACGGTAACAAAATAAACCTGAAGAAGATTAAACATATTTTCCTTCTCTTTTAGTAATTTATTTCCTCTCTGTGTGCCTTTGATTGGCAGAGTCATTTGTTTCATTTTACTCTAAAATCAAAATGCCTGTTTTTCTTGTCCAATCTCTTCTAATTTTACACATCCTGTTAAAGCGATGAGTGATGCTGCCTAATCTGAAAAACAAGTACTTCCAGATTATTTGGATTGTTTTGAGACATTGTTTTTCAAACATTGCCAGACTCTCTGATTTATCTCTGAGTCTTTCTGAAAATCTTCCTGGAAAATGAAACTGAACCAGGCTTTGGACAGTTTCTGCTTTGAACAAGTTGTTTTCCAGACTGAGCTGTTTTCAATCCACCTTCCCATCAGCTGAGCTGCTCAGCCTCCCTGTTAATGAACCATATCCCCGTAGCATTACTGTGTCTCTACTTTGCTTCATGATAGGGATAAAGTGCTCAGTGTGACAATGTTTACCTCACATACTGTAGTATTTTGGTCTGATCTAACCAGAGCCTTCCGTCTTCCACAGGGCTTATGTGGCAAACCATAGAGGTTACTTCTTAATTTTAGCAATTAAATATTCTTGTCAGACTTCCATAAAGGTGACATCCATAGATCTACTGAGGCTGTGGTTTCCTTAAGCTCCTCCAGAGTTGCCAGGCTCTTCTTTGGTGCTTCTCTGATTATTGTTCTGCTTTCTTCTGTAAAGGAAATAAATATTCAAACCAAGTTTTTCTTCTTCCAGCCTGTTAAGCAATAAATCTTCCTTGTATTTCTACATCCTGCTTGTGAACTGAAGCTCTCAAACAGGACACCAAATAAAGACGTTGACTCCAAAGCTGGATTTCAACAAAACCTTTTTTTTTTATTATTTCACATTTACCGTTTATAAAATCAGCGAGTTTGACATGATACCAACTTAAACACAGTGCGTGACTCGGGTTTGTCGTGTTTTGTGTGGTTGGACTTGTGTGTCTTTTTTTTTCTGTTTGTGTGCCTGTGCATTTGAATGGGTGTGTCGTTCTTCTGTAAGGCATCATGCAGCCGTTGGTTTCTGTTGTCCTTCAAAATAAAAATATACACACGCTTTTCTGGTAAATCCTCTATTTTGACTCACACATACATACATGTACGCACACTCCTAAAGCGCTGGGTGGATAATCAATGGTGTGATTCTCAGCTACAGGGGAAGGGATGATCTGATTGGCCTAGACAGCAGAGAGGGGAGACATTCAGCGCAGATAAACACACAGAGCTTTGCTACAAGAAAAACTTCATTCCTTTCTTTTTGATGAATATTTTTACACTGATACATCAATGGTTTTTTTGTTGCTGAAATCAGCTCATGTATTACTAGAAGTGAGGACTTGGTTTCTGCCATTTCAACGTGAAGCTTAGAAAATCCTGACCCCGATTTAATTCCTTTGGAAAAAATGATCCAAGTTGATTCTTCCCCTCAAACAGTCAGGATTGAGGTAATATGAGGGTTTTTTGTTTTAATAAAAAGGTCAAATTTACATTGAAACTATTTTATTTTGAATAAATATTGAATGACATGCCAGCACCAAGCTGATACCGGATCCAGTAACTCCTTTTTTAATTATTTTTTATTAATTTTGATGCATGAAATTTTAATTGTTTTGGAAAGAAAAAAGTCTAGACACAATTATCATTGGTTTAAATTCTCAAGTAGAAACCAAACGGACTTCTCATGTTTTCAGAAGATGTTAAACTTCTGATCCAACAGACATCTTCGGTTCTAATGCTGTCATCTAAGCTGCAGTCAGAAGACCAAAGGCGGCCCAGTTCAGTTCAATATTTGGGTCATTGGTGCTGGAAGGCCCGAACTTGTCACCTAACGATGCCAACATGTGAGCTGTTGTGGTCATAGGTTTCAAGCTGGGAATGATCATAAAACAGCTTAAGGTGACCAGTCAAAGTTTTTCACCAGCCACCTTGAGCTCCAGAGGCTTTTGTTTATGCGCAAGTTTTCATTGAAATATTATTTTTTAAATTGTCCAAAGTTGCAGGGAAGCTTCCTCTTCACCCAAATCTAACCAGTAAACCAAAATCTGATTGTGGAACGCTCAAAGATCTTTCCTCTTACCCACACTTTGCAGACACAAACACTTCACGGCATGGACAGGCGTCGGAAAATGCTCATGCATAAAATCACGTTGCACTTTGACCACTTCTACTGCGCTAACCCTGTTCCTAAATGCTGAAGCAAACATATACACACAAAGCTGCACTTTGCAACACAGAACAGCCATTCTATAGAGAACACAGTGGGGAACATCTGCTCATGCATTCTACTGTCACAAACTGAAGCACACATCTTTAATGCACATATCCCTGATGACAACACATGCACACGAGCTTGAACTAAACACTTGGCCTGCAGCACACTCACACCCTCTCATCCAGCTCCTTAAGTTTCATAATGACAAATTTTTCTTCAATTAGACAGGCCTCTCTTGTAATGTCCTACAGCTACTTGTTTGCCTGGTGATTGGTCTGCTGGTATTTATGGTATGTATTGTTTGTGAGTGTGTCATGCTGGCACATTATTCCAGTTAGTCTCTCTCTGTGTTTGGGTAAGGGCGTTTGAAATTTCTCCGTCGGGTGGCAACAACAACAAGGGTTTATCTACACGAACACACAGGTGAGGCCAGGGTGCAACGAGGGAAGCAGAGGGAAAGCTACAGGGAACTAGACGGTGAGGAGAGAGGTGGCACGGGTAAGCCGAGGTGTTGCGTCTGGAAGAGTCTGTTCTGGTTTTGGTTCCGAAAAGTCACAAAAAAAAAATGTTGCTGAACAGCTGGAGTCTGGTACGGCGAGGCGAGGAGGGCGAGGGGAAGCTGAAGGGTCCTGAAGAAGACTAGTAGCCCTAAAAAAGAAGAGATGTGGAATGAGAATGACAGAATCAATCGTGGTTAATGACAGACATATGTAGAGCTTTACCTGACACCTATCATTGGATTAGATTAGGTGTTGGAACATGTAGTAAACATATACAAAAGCATATTTATTTTCTTTTTTGTGTGATTCTTCAAAGAAATACAGAGATAAAGAGATGTTACAATTCTTGATTTCAAAATCATTTGAATGTCTAAAAATAAATATCTAAAAATATTTCTTTCCTGGCTTATTTTTATTAGATACTTTTCCTCTAGTTGAGCGTGGTCCAATCGTTAACATAAAAAAGCTGTTTTACATGGTTTTTGTTGGTTCTTGTGAACTATTCCGGAACTAAGAACTGTTTGATTTTAATAAACCTAAACTTAACTGTAGGAATCTCTATACACCTGTACATTCAATAATTAATGAGACTCATATCAGGATGGTTTCACTACCATATTTAACAGTTGGTTCCATCTAATGAGCTACATCTTGTGATTGTTATAAATTATTCTTAATTTCCGTGTGTCATATAAGCTTTTCTTAGAATGAATTTGGCTTTTCCATGCTGAAGGTGAAGTTATTTACATGTAGAGCACGGGTTTCTCTTTGCAGAATTACATAATAGTGCTCCAGTAATTGTGTATTATGGCAAACTCATTACTTTATTAGTTTGTTCACTAAAAAGCCTGTGTATTTTACTTTCACCGTTGTGGGATTTCTTCCTGAAGTTTGAGGGGGGGGGGGGGGGGGGGGGGGGGACACATTCCTGTAACATCCATACATACCGCTGATAAAACAGTGACCTTTAGACCTGCAGTGTTTTATAAGTGCATTAAAAAAATAAAACCTACTAGACCAACTCTCCTTTTTAGATTTTTCACTGTGTTCCTGCATCAGCCCAGTTGTGCTGTGATCCTCATAAAGACACATATCAGCAGTTGTAATCACTCTAAAAGAAATATAACTTCTACTACCAACTCAAATCGACGTCAAGTGTTGTTTTTTTGCAGGTTTTGCCTCAGCAGGTTAAAACCATCTGCAAACTGAACCTTTGCGTCACAGAAGTTTACAATTACAAAGGAAAGAAGTATATATTTAATCTATAAATGTATCTACTTCCCATACAGGACTTCCTGTTTAAGTTGTTGCTCATACTTGGCCGTCAGATAATATCCTCCTGTTTTCCTACCTCTTCTCCTTCGCCACCTTGCTCCATCCCTCCGTACTCTCCCTGTGGAAAAGAAAAAAGGAAAACGGTTTCAAAAAGATACAGGAAAACCGCTTCATTATTAATATTATTATTATCTGCTTTGATGAAAGAATAGGTTAATGGCAGGTCAGAGTCTTGTCAGCATCACCAGGTGTTTAACTTCGACATGCTTGGAGGATCAAATCAGCGGTAAAGAATGATAGGTTAAAAGATGTGTAAGCAATAAGCCATATTTTTTAGTTTATGATGTAAAGCCTAAGTGGGGTATAATTGGTAGAAATGATTTACAGCGTTGAGGTCAATCACGGCCGTATCTTTTATGTTTGACAGGAGATACAGGATTATAAATGACAGATTTAGCATCATCTAGTAAACTTACATCAGAGTGAGCAGCAGAAAGGAAGCTGAAAGAAGCTGCGTCTTGCAAACATATTTACAGGTGCTGGTCATAAAATTAGAATATCATGAAAAAGTAGATTGATTTCAGTAATTCCATTTAAAAAGTGAAACTTGTATATTATATTCATACATTACATACAAACTCATATATTTCAGATGTTTATTTTGTTTAATTTTGATGATAACAAATGACAACAAATGAAAATCTCAAATTCATCATATCAGAAAATTAGAATATTACTGAAGACCAATAAAAACAAAGGATTTATAGAAATGTTGGCCAACTGAAAAGTATGAACATGAAAAGTATGAGCATGTACAGCACTCAGTATTTAGTTGGGCCTCCTTTGGCCTGTATTACTGCAGCAATGCGGCGTGGCATGGAGTCGATCAGTCTGTGGCACTGCTCAGGTGTTATGATAGCCCAGGTTGCTCTAATAGTGGCTTTTAGCTCTTCTGAATTGTTGGGTCTGGTGTATTGCATCTTCTTCTTCACAATACCCCATAGATTTTCTATGGGGTTAAGGTCAGGAGAGTTTGCTGGCCAATTAAGAACAGGGATACCATGGTCCTTCAACCAGGTACTGGTAGCTTTGGCACTGTGTGCAGGTGCCAAGTCCTGTTGGAAAATGAAATCTGCATCTCCAAAAAGTTGGTCAGCTGCAGGAAGCATGAAGTGCTCTAAAACTTCCTGGTATGTGGCTGCGTTGACCCTGGACCTCAGAAAACACAATGGACCAACACCAGCAGATGACATGGCACCCCAAACCATCACTGACTGTGGAAACTTTACACTGGACTTCAAGCAACGTGGATGAAGTGCCTCTCTTCTTTTCCTCCAGACTCTAAGACCTTGATTTCCAAAGGAAATGCAAAATTTACTTTCATCAGAGAACATGACTTTGGACCACTCACCAGCAGTCCAGTCCTGTTTCTCTTTAGCCCAGGCAAGACGCTTCTGACGCTGTCTGTGGTTCAAGAGTGGCTTGACACAAGGAATGCGACAGCAGAAACCCATGTCTTTCATACGTCTGTGTGTGGTGGTTCTTGAAGCACTCACTCCAGCTGCAGTCCACTCTTTGTGAATCTCCCCCACATTTTTGAATGGGTTTTGTTTCACAATCCTCTCCAGGGTGCGGTTATCTCTCTTGCTTGTACACTTTTTTCGACCACATCTTTTCCTTCCCTTCGCCTCTCTATTAATGTGCTTGGACACTGAGCTCTGTGAACAGCCAGCCTCTTTAGCGATGACCTTTTGTGTCTTGCCCTCCTTGTGCAAGGTGTCGATGGTCGTCTTTTGGACAACTGTCAAGTCAGCAGTCTTCCTCATGATGGTGTAGCCTATAGAACTAGACTGAAAGACCATTTAAAGGCTTTTGCAGGTGGTTTGAGTTAATTAGCTGATTAGAGTGTGGCACCAGGGGCCATCAATTTTGAACCTTTTCACAATATTCTAATTTTCTGATATGATGAATTTGAGATTTTCATTTGTTGTCATTTGTAATCATCAAAATTAAACAAAATAAACATCTGAAATATATGAGTTTGTATGTAATGTATGAATATAATATACAAGTTTCACTTTTTAAATGGAATTACTGAAATCCATCTACTTTTTCATGATATTCTAATTTTATGACCAGCACCTGTATATGCCCAAAAGGAAACTATGCAGGTTTCTTCTGCCTCTCTACACATAAGAATCTAAGTTTTTACTTTGCAAAACTTTCGCTGTGTTTTACCTGGCAAGTCTTTTAGGGTGTATTGTTAGTTAAGGGTTTTGTGGGCCAGAGAAAAACATTTTTCTATGATTGCTGTGTCACAATCATGGATGTGAAAATGGTATCTTAAAGCTACAGTGGAGGATTTTCGCTACTTTTTGAAGAGACCCACCCTCTCCACTTAAAAATAAAATGCACTTGCACAACCCTGTACCCACTCCCGAGAGGGAACACCTATTAAATGTGTCTGAGAGCATGCATGAGCCCATTCTCCTCAAGCACGCTGTGTTTAAAAGTTAAGTGAAAATGGGGACGAGCACGTGGGACGGCCTTATGTAAATATATCACCAGAATGATTGACAATTAGAAGGACCACTTATTTTGATGATCCCTGTGGAAAAAGAACATCCTCCACTATAACTTTAAGGCATTAAAAAAAAAAGCTTTCTTCTTATAGGTCTTCCAATATAGCCAGATATCAATCTATGACATATAGTTGTCCATTTAGGAGGTTCTTCCACCAGAGCTACGCATCGCTGATGCTCCTCCAGAGTAACATGGGTCATTCCCTTTCTCCCTGATAAATCCTCCTAATGTAGGTTGATATTTAGGTCTTGGTAGGTTTGATTATTCTTTTGGGTCTCCTTTCATCCCTTCTGATGCTCACCTTTGTTGCTGAAAGCCAGTTATAAACTGTGGATATAAAATGCATTATATAATAAATCAAACCCATTTCAATGTATCAAGCAGCTGGCATGTTCCATGCAGAGCATTCCCTCCCTACCACCAAAAATGGTACATCTAAGACCCCCACACTGCTTTACAATAGGTACCTCGTATATTGGCTCCTCCTATCCAGGAAAGACAAATGAGACACAAACAGCATAAAGAAACAAAAAACAAACAAATAAACTATGAAACAAACACAGCACCAACAGATGGTTGTCATCTCACCCTTTCACCATTTTTACTTCCTCCGTATTTGCACCCAGATTTTTGTGTCATTTGTCTTGCAGTGTTTTCATCTGTTCTCACCTTTGGGATGCACTGTACATTTATTTTAAGCCCTCTATTACTATAGAAATAGGTTGTTGGATGTGGAATCTCTTTAGAATATGTTAAATAATTTGCACTGTCAATTTGTCTGTACTATATGAATGGCGGAACACAAACTGATCTGGTTTATGAGTGTCTCCAAACTCTTCATTTATCCATAAGGGTGTCCTCCAGGGGTCCATAGTTGCATCCTGTTTTTTCTACTAGCTATACAAGTTATGTTTCACTGTAAGTGGACAATACTTCAATCGCTGCAGATAACATCTGTCCCTTTGATTATCAGAGACCTGCCTACAAATATATGGAAAAGTTTAAGAAAATGTCTTTAACTCAAGGCTGATTGGAGTTTTTAATTAAATATTTTAATGTCTTTTATATATCTTTTATTGTGAGCATAAGACTAACAGAAGCATTTCTGTCATTAACCCATACAGGGACATTTTGAACATGTATGTTTGAAAAATGATTGGTACAGTGTTGGTACAGTGTTTCTGCATTATTTGTTTGGATGAAGGCATTCTATCTACGATTGTTAATTGAAACACCTGTAAATTCCTCTTGAGAAATTACAAAATCCAGAAAAAGTCTTTCTGGAACCACTCACCAGCAGCTATAAATTTAGACCAGACAGTGGTGAAAAAGCTTTTCACTTATTGTAAAAAGTTTAAGTGCTGTCGTCAATTTTGCTTTTTGTTTTATGGTATCTGTTTCAACTGGTTTTAAAGCAAAACTGTAACTTTTAGCAAGTGTTTGTTACAACGTTGTATAAATAAATGGCCTCCCTGCGTGTTTTGTATTATGATAGTTGACTGGACCGGCAGACTTAGAAGCCATGGAATAACTAATAGATTAGACTAGTAGATCTAAAGCGTAGGTCACCTTCACCCCTTTAGATTAAATCCTTAATAAGAGAACCTAAAATATGTCGGTTCATGTCTGTTTTGTTGCATAACAACAAGTTTAAACTTATTTAGATCTCCTGTTCAAGGGGAGCTCAGACAGCTGTAAAGCAGTGATCTGGGTCCCATGACATAGGCAAGTTTTTGAGGAGGGGAGCCAAAACAGAGCATCAATATGCACCAAGTGCTGGATATACACCTGAAAAATGTATTTATATATTTCAAATTAATCTGATAATTGGTTCAGAACTTATACAATGTTGCTTTATTGTGGACATTTTTTGCTACCTTCTCAACCCAGATTACATCATAAATGACATTTAAGACTTGGTTTATATTTTATAAAAAAAAAAAAAGAAAAAAAAAAAAGAAATCTGCTTATAGTCAAGAGTTAAGATGATGTTAATTTGACTCCAGTGGAAATCCTTGAACAGGGAATCCTTTAGTTGTTTTGGTTTGATGATCGCTCATAATCATGTCATTGGGTTATATTTCATAAGAGCTAACTGTCCCAAACAGGGATCAGAGTAACAATCAATGATTATATAAAATGAACGTTTAAGACGAAGAAGTATATTTGACAAATATAAAATCTAAAAAGTAGAAGGGAAGAAGAAGGGAAGGGGTGAATTGATCGAAAGCACACAAACAACACAAGAGACAAAAGCAGTGACACAACAAGAAACCAAAAAACCCTCTCACAATCAAGTGCAAAGGTCGTAAGAGTTTAATATGAAAAAAATGAACAGATAAATTTATAGAAAACAGCAGGAAGTATGATCAGACTTCAGAAGTTGCTGAAGACACTTTGATTATAACTTTAACTTTATTATTGAACACCTTTGAGATGGAGAAAAAAACGATTAATGACCAAAATATATATATATTCACATGTGTTGTGAATTGGCGCTATATAAATAAACTGAATTGAAATTATATTTTGTATCATTAGATAAACACATTTCCTCCTGCTTCATGAATAACAAGCAAATTCCCATTATGATTGAATATCTCGATAAAATCTGAAGTTTCTATAAGTGTTATAGGATGAGGAAAGGTAGATGAAAACTTAGATAATGGTCTAATCACAGCTCCCCCTTTATAAATCTAATTATCATCATACTTTTTTCATAGCTCTGATTTAATTTTTTCAAAAACAAAAGCCTGAAGATTGTTAATTATTTGAATTACCAATAGGTAACAGCTATTACAAATTAACCTCAGGACACTTAATTTTACTGCACTTCCATACCATATATATTTGAGTTCATTTTCTATTTTGCACAATATTGTTCTTACTCATTTATGTTTCAAAAAAGTAGTTAATGTTGCAAACTTAGGCTCTATTCTGTATTTCTATTTATTAACTGGTGTTACTATATTTCTATTTTTAATTCTCTTTTCATCAGTGCGGAGAGCAAATAGGAATTTTATTGTACAGGAGGATGTTTTTTTTTTTTTTTTTTTTTTTTTACAGTGCGTAGAACAATAAAGCTATTGATGTATTTACACACAGAGTTAAATATATTGCATCCATGAACTCACAAAAAATGTGTTTGATTTTGGTTTACAGAATGAAAAAACCCTAAATCCATATATGGCATTCGATTCTGCAGGCTATTGTTTTCCCTGCTATTTATGTCTGCTAACAAATGCTTTCCTTCAACTCAGCTTTCCTTTAATATGCTTGGATCTAGCGTTCTGTGAAAGTTTTCTTTTAAGAATGACCTGGCATACCCTCTACTGAGGATCCAAGTAACTCTCTGCTGGGTAACTGTCTTCTTTATGATTATGTAGGCCATAAGGTAATAAAAATATGTTTGTGAAGGAAATGGCTTCATCTAGTGGCTAAGTACTAAACAGCAGCTCATAATCAACCTAGTAGGTTTCTTCAAACTGATCAGCTCATGGCATAATCTCAAGTTGCTGTTGTGCAGTCTTGAAGAACCCCCCCTATAAAATGACCTATGTGTTGTTATCATAGTAACTGACCTGACTGACCATCCCGGTTGATGCAGCGACGTTCTCAACCCCTTCGACGGTTGCCTGAGACACCTCGTTGGCTCCGGCCACTGCTGTGTCTCCGACGATGTTGGCCTGGTCCATGGTCCTGTTGGCCACTAACAGAGAGAAACACAACAGAGATCAGAGCACCCTGAAGATGTCCAACTAACAAGCAGAAAACAAGCACTTATTTTCAACTGTTAGCTATATTCATGCTGAAACACGTTCTAGACCTCTTCATCTTTACATTATATACTGTGGAGTCAAGAAGCTGAGACAGAGGCGTTTCTTGCAAGAAATAATGTTCAAATTTAAGTAACGTCCTCAGACGGTGAGATTGGGCTCTGACTGGCCAAAGCTCAGTACATACATTTGTACCTTACAAAAATCCCAACACACACTCCCCCCAGGGGAACCAACCCACCCTGTGCATAAAGAACTTTCTCACACTTGAACATTCAGAGGAAAAACAACTTGAGTTCATCAAGACCATTCACTGTTAGTTTAATATATCTTTCACTGGACAGATGGATCTACTCAAAACAACAGTCCTCCCCTTCATGCCATGAAGGAGAACATGTAACTCATTCTTATCTCTATCTCGAACAGAAAATCTCAAAGTTTTTTACTCCACAATACAAAAAACAAAAAGAAGAAATGCTGAAGAGAGGATCTGATGCTTAGAGAACCTGAAGCAATTCTAGTTAACTGAGGAGTTCCTCACCTGGATCCTTGGATGTCATCTTAAAAGCTGGCAAACTACTGAGAACAGTAGATCGTTTATTAGCAGCTTGATTGATCATGATCAATATTTAAAAAATAAGTGTTGAATAAAATAACATATACAGACAGATGCACTTTCCATTACCTTTCCTAACTATACAAGTTAGCTAATGGTGTCCTTAATTATCTTTCCACATTTAAAACAAACTAGATTTGATTATTATTGACTCAGCTTATTTCTTTTTATATCAAGTCAATAATTTAAAGTTTAATGGAAAAGGGGTGGTTGTCCTAATTTAATAATTATTGGCAGCTCATATGGAGTTAGGCAACAGGCTCCAGAATGCCTCGGAAGTAATGAAGCATAGGTTCCCATCTAGATGCAGTAAAAGCAGGACGTTTCTCCCTGTATTCCTGTTTTTTTATTCTAAACACTCATTTCTCTTACTTTACACATGGAGCTGCTGTGAACTTCATAGACCTTTAAAGCTTGCAGATGGACACTGCAATAGGGAAAATGTGTATCTTGACTTTAATGTTAATCCTGAACTGTTCTGCAAGGTTTCCTATTTTTCTATCCATTGTATAAACCTGTGTTTCAATCAACAGTGCAGTCTCGTAAATGTCATGCTTCATCATGGCAGCTATGCTTAAAGGAACATACAGTAAAGCTTCTTAGAAATGTTTGGCTGGAGCTCTCACCTTTGCTTTCTTTGGTCCATGTTCAGTGAGCTGCAAACAATGCAGCATGTTTGCTCCACTTTAATAGACTAAATGGAGATAAAAATACTAAAGGCAAATTTGATATGAATTATGGTTAAATCCACCTTAATTCATAAAAAGAAAAACTTTTATTGATCCCAAAGAGGAAAATAATTCTGTTGCAACAACTGTGTTTTTGTTCTGAAGAGATATTTACCTCCTCAAACACCTTGACTTCATCTCCCATGAAGGTAATGGTGTTTCACCTGTTACCCTTCCTTCTGCAATCTATGTCTAAAGCGAAATAATCTTCCTTGTGTTATTTACACTTGGGCTCCCAAAAAGTGCTTAACCAATAAACTAAAAATAAATAAACAAATAACAAAAGAACTGCAGTGCAAGGACAGCCTTTGTGAAGTACAATAGATCAGCCCAGGCTGTTGTAAAATATGCAATAGATAACTTCTGTTTCCCTCTTCTATTATTTACATTTGATCATATATAATATATACCACATTCATGTCTGCAGGTGTAGTGGTATAAAATTACAGCATAGCTCTGTGATAGTGGAATTCATGCATTTGTGCTTCACTTTAAAAGTTGGCAAGTTTTGCCTTTAAGGTTTTCAAACCTTCTAATGAGTGATTGGAAATATTCAGGGAGAAGAAAAAGCCATCTGGAATTTATAATTGCCTAATTAATCACCATCTTCTGTTCAAACAGCCTCTTATTTGGGATTTACCACCTTTCAAATCAAGTGTTTTTACAAAGTGGACACATGTATGTTGGTATGAAAGCAGTCAGAGCATCCTTTTTCATCAAAGCTTATGTTGAATTTTGTAAAATATTGTTTTGTCCGAATGTAGACAGCAAAAACAGGCATGAGAGCGAACAGCTTCAGAATGCCAGCTTTAGTCTTTCACTGAGAGACACAACCGACATATGGTGCCATATTGTATTTTGATGCTTCAATTTTTTCTCTGTAACATAACCTGAGAAAATTATCAATTGTTATTGCATTTACATAGTTGATAAAAATATCTTTAAACTTTAACTGGCATCTGGAGGTCGGTGCTAGCCAGTAAAGGGCACTTTTCTTACCTGTGTTTACCGATGACACAACACCTTCCCTTGTCTTGTTCCCTGCAGACAAAAGAAAACAAAAATTACAGCCCTCTATAAAACTTCATTCTGTGAGAAAATTCACATTTCACAATTTCTTATTGATTTTCTTCAAAGAAGAAATGTTTTCCAACTTCTTTTTTTTTTTCAACTTCTATTCTTTAACAAAACAGGCAAAAGACTTTCACCTAAACAATGAGCTTTTATTTGGGGTTTGCTTGTAAAATAATAGGAGGATTGAGTGAAATACGAGTTTTGAAAAGGCATTTCAACATTTTTAAACCATTTCACTCACACATCTTGTAGTGTTTTATTATAGTTATTGTGATAGACCAGTACAAAGTGGTATCTGTGACAGGGGAGGAAAAACTGCTATTACCGTCTTTTCACGACCATAAGGCGCACCGTACTAAAAGGCACATTCTCAGTTATGTGTGCCATTACTGTATTTAACACACACATAAGGCACACCGGAAAATAGGACGCGGGTTTTATATACAGGTACATATCATCTACTACGTTTAAATACCTCTACTGCGTATTTAAAAATAGAGCGGGAGCAAAACTGAGTATGATTGTGCTTTATTCAAGTATTTATTACAAAGTATTAATCAAACCCATCAAAGTCATCATCCTCTGTTTCTGAATTAAACAGCTGCGCTAAATCAGACATGCCAATTTCCCCTTCTTCGCTGTCAGAGTCACTTTCCGTGCCGGGCGACTCCTCGGAAATGATGCCGGCTTTTGCGAAAGCTCGAACAGCAGACACGTTAGCCCAAGCATCAACAATCCATCCGCAAACTGTGGCATAACTTGCCCGGTGCTGCCTTCCACTTTTTGTGAAACTGTGGTCTCCGTCTGTCATCCATCGCTCCCACGCCGCTCGCAGCCTTACTTTGAACGGCCGGTTCACACCGATGTGGAGCGGTTGAAGTTCCTTTGTCAGACCTCCCGGAATAACAGCGAGCACAGCGTTCATTTGTTTCACCTTTTTTTCACATTAAGTGAACTATGAATTAAGTTAATATTTATTCTGATCTGACAAGATCAGATGCAGCAATTGAGTTGATCTATTCCCACTATCATTGCATACATGGGAGAAGAAGACCTGTCAGCCAGGCCAACAATTCCCTTCAACGACCCCCCTTTCTGAGACTTAGACAGGTTTGGGGCATTGCAGACTAACAAAAGAAGCTGAATGACCCCCACTCCAAAGGGGTGGTTCAGTTCGTCAGTTTGCATGTTTTCTAAACAAAAACAAGGCTTTGATGGGCTAGATTATACAACCTCGAACTCAACGCTATTCCTAACATTTGGAAGTGAAAAAGCTTCCTGGATAGGAAGCGTAAGCGTTTTCGGAATGATCTGACAAGATCACCTTTTTCCTCATTTGCTGCATCCCTAAGATTGCCTTCAGCAACCTTCAAGCAGGACTTCTTCTATTATTTTTCCCATATTCTGTAGAGATAACCACTAATAGTTGTCCTGTTGACCCAAACTTTCAGCTGAGCTGATGGCATCTGGAGGACTTTCTCTTTACAACCCTCCAGAGATACTATGAACCTCCTGATCAATATGCAGTTTGTTCACTGATATTGTTTAATGAGCCTCTTAGATTTTTGTTGAAAATGTGTCTTTATACTTACATTATGTTCAAATCAGGTGGAGTCTGTTTGTTACTCAGGGGACCTCCTCAAGCCTTTGTTTACTCTACGTTTTATTAAGGAGTACCAGAGAAAATGGGCCTTGGTGAAATTGCACCTTTTTTTTTCCCTAAAACATTAAAACAAAAAAATTTATCATTTTCATTGCCTATGTGACAAAAAGAGTAAAGAATTAAAGAGCCATTTTTAATCAGTTATCTGTTTGCTCACCATTTTTAACCCTTTTTTCTTATGGGTGCATCATTTACTTTTAAATTACTTTAATTTATTCTTTAAAAGGGATGTATTGGACGTTCTACACTTTTTAGAAACGCTTTGATGACCTAATAAATTCCTAAACAATTAAAAACCAGCCCACTCCCCTCTCCCCAGCTCTGTGCTCACTGCAGCATGATCCCAAACAGATTAAATTCTTGCTATATAATCTACAGAAGGAAAGGATGGATGGAGGGAAATATCCACTCTAAAAGATCAGAGGCAACAGTTAAAGGAAGAGAAAATATGCAGAACAGTCAGCAGCAGTACCATCCTGAGCTCTCTCTCCCTGTGGATTGTCAGAGCAGATGCAGAACCTGTGATGGGGCTGCCTCATGCCTCCATACCACATTCTCCCTGCTGCCTGTTCCCCTTCTGACTCTCTGCACGCTCTCAGAGGTATACCATCCACGTGCCTGAGTACGAAGCAGTACCGCAGAACACCACACACACACTTCCTAGTGAAACAGATGTTTTTTTGTGTGCTCATTTTAACTAAAGGAGCCCCATGAGTGCCATGGCACACTGTCCGTCACCACAGAACAAAATGTACTGCTGACTGACTGTTCTGATCTTTTAAATTATAAAGAAGAATTAGATCTAAGGAGGAATTGGCACACTGAACACGGCAGATCAGAGCAAGACACAATCCAAACATAAATGGTCATTTAAATCTGAATAAGGTTGTTTGGATTACATGGAATATTATTGGAAATATCCATATATAACATGCAAATATTGAGCTCTAATATTTGTTTTTCCATCAGTAGATTTACTCTATATTTCTCTTAATTTATTAAAGTTGTGACAGGTCCAATAAAACATTTGAGAAAATTCTAACTAAAATATTGTATGTAACGGTCATTTGGATCTTTTATTAAAACGAAAAACAAACTTTGTCATCTTCCATGAAGACGTTGTTACTCAGTAGGAGCTCTTGCTAAGATGATGCTTCTTCTTCTGCATCCCACACTTTTTTTGTCATGCAAATACCCCAAAAAAGCTGTTAGGATCCCTTTTTTGTGTCTTTAGGTTTATTATGTTTGGTTTCTATCTTATATTTAACTTGTGCATTCGTTTACATTTTCAGCTGATGTATTAGAAAAGATTGAATTAACTGCAATTTATGGCTATTTTATAATTATGCAATGACATTTTAATAGGTTATACAGTAATACCTTAAGCAACTGTCCCACTGTTTCAATTTGCTACCTTGGTGTAAATCTAAGGAAATTAAATGGATTTTATTAAAACTTCAAGCCCTGACATCTCAGAAACACATATGTTGCATTTGATCTGCTCCACTCTGAATAGTGCAGGTGTATTAGGATTAAAGGTGTGAAGTCCACAGTGTTCTCCAGTATTCATGACAAGTGTACGCCGCCTCAAAAGTTAATGACTCAGCTAAATTAATCAGATACTGTAAGTTATACAGTCAGTTTTCACTCTGCATGTGAGTTTCTACCAGACCTTAAACAAAAGACAGAAATGCAATATGATGATGGTGCACTGCAGTAGAGACACCATGCAGAACACTGGGCTGCACTGACCCCCTTTTGAGGGGGTAATTGGATCGCAAGCAGTGGATATCTTTAAAATAGATGCTGAAGGGTTCAGCTGCAGCCAAGGCTGTACCTCTGCAGCCCGCTAGTGCTTCATACTGTCTATTTGCATACCGATGCCTGCGCACTGGACTGGAGGTGGATACAGTCATCTTCATCAGACACATTTACCCTCCTCACTTCAGCAAGCGTATCTTTTCTCAGTCTTTATACCCTTCCTGCTCTCCCAACCCTCTTTTTATCAAGTGGAATATTTTTTTTTTATATTTCTGCATGTTGGTTTAAAAAATGGATTTTGCAGACAGATTCGACCACAGCTGACAAATTCAGTTCATTTTGAAGAAAGGGCAGGATAAGATGGCGAACACCTTATTCCCCTCATCCTGCAGGCTCCTGCTTAAGGATACCACCTTGATTATAATTTTGAAGTCCCAATTTAACATAAGATAAGATGCAGAAGGAAAGGACTGCGGCCATCAAATAAGACTACCTCTTAACCCTCTGATTCACCGTCCCTCTTTCCTATCTCCCCTCCCCTCCTCTCTGATGGTAACCTTGAGATGTGACGCAGTCTCTGCTGGAGCTAAAATTAAAAGCACAGGAAACGGCAGCAAGATCGGGCAAGAATGGTTGCAATTAATTTTTCTTTTTCTGCAAAACCTGTTTAAATTATCAATAGTTTTGTAGGATAGCCTAATAAAGCAACATTCAGTTACACGTTTAATATCTTCCCACCGTCTCACTTGATTGATTGTAAATTCTGGTGATGTAGTAAAAGCCAGTAGCACTGTCCCAGGACTCCTCTGTATCTGCTTTTCTTTTTCTCATATCCTTTTTTAATTTTCTGTTTCTATGTAACCCACCAGTTTTCCTGCTACAGCCTCTTTACCCTATCTGATTGTTTCATCGTCACTTTTTGAATCCCCACACCCTGTGTCCTGCACCAGTCCTGCAGCAGTATCCTGACAGTGCTCATTTCTGCTACCTCCTACCTACTCCTCCCTCGTTTCTATCCACATAGAAAACCAATGTAAGAAAAAATGCTTAAAACGATTGCAGATCAAACCAATAATCGAACCCTTCAACTTCTCTAAAAGGTATTTGTTTTCCATGGTACATACCTACATACATCACCCCTTCTTTGGTTTTGGCTGCTGCCTCCTCCATCCCTGCTTTGGTCTTCTCTGCAGCAGCTACCACTCCCTCCTTGGCCATAGAGAACCCTTTCATAAATACATCCATGGTGGGCAATGAATTGGCTGGGGTCCCCTGCTCAGAACAGGCCTGGCTAGTGCTTACAGTGAGCGTGCGGAAGAGATGATAATGATGGTGATGATGTGGGATGTCAGAGAGTGTGCGCGTGCCTTTTTTTCTTTTTAGCTCCTCCTCTTGTTGGTGCTACAGCAGAGCTCTAAACGCAGTGCACAGCAAGGCCACAGCATGCAGACTGAAAATGAGAGGGGAGGAGGAGAGAGCCAATATGGAGATGGAGAAAAGAGGAGGAGGAGGAGAGACGGCTGGATGCTGCAGCATTTTCTCCATGCAGCATCCCCACCCCTACAACCACCTCTCATTCCTTATTTTCAAGTTATGATCAGCTTAGCCTCTAAAGCTCAATATTGACTGACTTGTCTGGATGCAAAGCCACATATTACATAACAGCCAACCAGCTGACATTTTGTCATGTAATCTTAACACGTGATGTCACTTCCTCCCTTTTGCTCATCAGTGTTTGCTCTGCATAATTCTGGTCCATCACCAACCTTAGTGGAGCAAGTTACATTTGATTTATATATATAAAAAAAAAAGTACCCAAAGACGTTTTTCTTGTTGTGAAGGAATCAAGAAGTGCTTCGTCATCTCCACCTGAATGAGTCACAGCCACCTTTCTCCTCCTCTTCCCCCTCCTTCATCTGTCTCACACCGACATACTGACTCGACAGCATTGCAGCTCTGAGAGGACACTGATCCAACTGATCAGGTTTTGTGTCATCGGATTTGAAGATTGAGTGACAAAAGGAAGAATGTATCTGTTACACAATGGAACCTCCTGCTGAGTCTGAGCGTTTTATGAAATTACTATTTAATGTTGATTAAAATGACAGCTGTGATATTTGTGACCACATTGTTTTTAAACACGTCATCGTGACACAGCATTGTAGCAGAAATCAGCCTCCTTCGGAAAACCCAGTAGACAACAAAACCACACAAAACAATTTACATAACTAAACTACATAAATACATGGTTACCCTAATATAACACATTGTGTTTTGCCAAGTCAGTACCTTTTAGCACTGCCTTTTACTACAGTTACAGCTACAAGTCCTCGGGACACACCTAAAAACTAAAATACTGAAATGCAGTCAGACTAGATGGAGTGAAAATGACCTTTTTAGGTCTTGCTGTCATGATCTTAGCACTGATGACTGGATTATTGACTTGATTCTTCCACCTGCTTAGCTCCGCCTAGTTTTCATTATCACTCATCTGAACCACCTGTTCCAGTTCCTATTTAAACTGCTTGGTTCCAGCCATTAGTGCAAGATTACTCGAGCCGTAGATGAGAGTTCTCAAGTGTACACCAGTGTGATTATTTTGATTGCCTTTCCCTGACTAGTTTCTGCTCCTGTAATGCTAAGCCTACCTGCCCCTGTTCTGATCTTTTTGTCTGATTTGTCTTGGGACTCCAATTGAATTCTGGCTGCTAACAACGTTGGATCTGTCTCCCGAACCCGACTTGGATTTCCCTTCAGTGTCTCTTCTGATCTCTGATCTTCTGGCCTGGACTTCTGCTTACTCATTGATGCCGGCTACCAATTCTCTTTTTGGATTCTTCTAATCTTCCTTGTCAGCTGACCTCTGCTCGTCGGTCTGCTCTACAGCACCTTTGGCTTCTACTCCTGGAACTTTCTGGGCGGCTTCCGCCGCATGCTGGATTCTATTCCTTCCTCTGGGTTTGGACTGACTTAATAACCAGGTTAATAACTCAAATGCTTGCTATAATTTCCTGTCAGATTTACGTGGTCACTAACCTGTGTTACTCCCTCTACAGAGATTCCGAGACGCAGAACTCTGAGCATTTAATGAATGCTTTTTATGAATCACTTCAGTCTGTCTGCCTAAATTCTGGGTCCAATGTTCTGAGTCTTGACACTTGCTACAGAATTATTCTTTGCTTTATGTCTGGACTTTGACTGCTCAACTCTAACTCAGAAATACACTTTAACCTAAACTGTTCCATTGTAACTGTGGCTAAATATTTAGGGATGTTTTCCTGCCTTTAGCTGGTTTTCTTCTATCATCTTTGTTCAGCAGAAGAGATGCATCCCCACAGCATAATGCTGCCATCATCTTTCACACTACGGATGATGTTTTCTGGGTGTTTTTTTCCCGCCCCAGGTTTTTAATCCAGTTCATAAAGTTCAGTTGTAGTCTGACCAGATCTGCTTTTTGCAGCTTTTGAAAGTGACTTCTTATGACTCTCTCTCAGCAACTACTTTATTTTTGCCTCCTCTTCCACAAGGGCAACATTTGTGGTAGCCAATGGTTGCTCCATAAAAACAGATCTTCTGCTCTGTGCTTTAATTTTTTTTTGTGTGTTATGTCAAACCCCCACACCTTTATGTAGAGTTAATAAAACATTTATTCACATTGATATCAGTACATTTCCGAGTGCATTTTTACATACTGTTGTGCATATAGATAAACTGTGTATTCCTCTTGCTGTCACATCTGACAAACATGCTCATACAGTCTTTTTTTTTATTCATAAATCTTCAATTTATCTCCAGGAGCAACAAAAAAAGAAAAAGAAAAAAAATAGCATTTGAATATTTGTTTTCTTTTGTACATTTTCCCTTTAATCTAAGAGAACTCCAATAATCAGGACATTAAAAGAAAGAACCTAAACATGAGAGAAGGTCTGAATAGTCGGCAGATATATTGACACCTGAAACGTATAAACACATAGCGTTCTCATACTAACATGTATGCATATTAATACATTTTTAACTAATCTAGGCAACAGCTATAGCTCACTCTCCTGGGAAGTTTCTCTCTTCATTTTCCCTCATAATTTAACTCCACCTCCTGTTCACTCCTTGGATTCTTCCCATGTTTACATGTCCTCCTTCTTTCTGTTACTTCCCTCGCTTTGATACACCTCTCCTCCATTTTACTGGATATTGAGGATCTGTGCAGACAATCCGTTGTGCCAGTTCTTCAACTTGGCGAAGCGCGGCCCCTTGACCTCTGACTCAAACCGCTCTCTGTTGGTGAGGATGACAGCAGAAGGCAGTGATGTCAGGGAAAAGGGTTTACGTTATCATCATCCTCTGATAAAAAGGCATGCTTCAGCTTCTGTTCTAACTTTGCATGTTGGTTCTTATTTCTATAAAATCTGGTCATTAAAAATCCTTTTGTATTGATATGCACAGATATTCACAAATGTCTTTAAATTTTCCCTGTCTTGAATACCCATTCTGTTCGATGTGTGTCTACATGACCTTTAAAAGGGACAAGAGAGCAGTGACGTGCGGTCAGGGGAGGCAGGTGAGGCAGTGCCTCACCAGCCATCATGGAAAGAAAGAAAATATATAATCATAAAGTAATTTAAATTGTTATATTCATCCGGTGGTTTGTACTAAAAAATATTCATTTTTCATGTAGCTTCACCAATTTCGATTTTTATTTGTTCAAAATCACTGAATTTTCTTATTTTCCCATTCAAATGCTTGGAAGCGATGCCGGTGAGGCAGCAGCGAGCTCTGCCTCACCTTGGATTGCGCAACCCCTGGCTCTGCGCTGGCTGCAAAGCGGAGAGAGCATGTTGCTGTACGGCGTCAATAAAATAGTTTAAACAAATGTAATATGTGAACTTATTTCTAATAATTTGGCTTATGTATATAATGTACAGAGCTTTTTGTCACCAACTGTGTTTGTGTAACGTGTTTCGTGTAATGAGCGATTATAAACGGCAGAGAACAAGTTCGAGGTGAGGCAGGCAGTTCTCTTGCCTCATGGCAGGGGGTGCTCAAGAGACTGAAAACATAAGGCAGGAACAGGACGGATCAAGGAAGGCTTTCTTCCCTGGCAGTGATCTCCATTGAGACAGAGAGACTTTTAAAACTGAAGGAAGATAAGGAGGACTTCTATTCATTTATAAGTAAAGGTAAGACAGTAATAACATTTATTTTGTTTTGTTTTTTAAGGAAATGTGTGTTTTGTGAGCTACAGTTTGTATGTGTAAGGATGCAGAAGTGAAACATAACCTGTAAACTGCTGTCAATCTATGCATCTATTTGCAAATCTGATTCTGATGACGTCAGTGCCTCACCAGCTATGAACCTCACCGCACGTCACTGCAAGAGAGTAATACTATAATAAAAATGTCCCCTCTGTACATTTCCAATACTAGAGTATGCAGGCTACTTAGCAGAGTTTTACCAGTCATATGCATATATTTCATGGTATGAGTGCAGCAACATTGTAAACCTTAAATTGTTGAAAATACAGGAGAATTGTGACCTGAACTGTATGCATTGGGTCAAATGTTGTATCCTTTCATAAGCTTCTAACAATCATTTACTTGAATTATGACCTATTACTACTGAAAGACCTAGTTTAACAAATATTGGCACTTTGTGATGCTCAAAAAACTCACTTTGTCACCTTCAAACCATTTGGTGCTGTTAATAGTTACACTTTCCATGTTGGAGACCCAATTGTGACCAAGATTAAGATGTTGTTTCAATATTTCCACTCATCACCATCATGTCTTCTGTGATGTGAAGTGCACCAGTCTCTCATTTTTTCAATTTATGTTACTTTTAGCGTAAGTACTTCTTCTTTTAGAGTTAATTTGTACAGGACTCATTGTATAGCTAATAACATAGTTATCTTGCTCTCTCTTAAACTAGTGTCATATGCCAAACATAACATCTTATTAGAAAAATAACCTTTCTAATAGACAACGTTTTTGTAATTTTTAACTGTCTGAAAACAGAAAAAAGGCTCAGTCCAATTTGACGTCCAACAGTAAGAAATGAAGGTGGATTATTTTTTTATACAAGGCATATTAAAAATTATGAGATGGTTTCAGGTTACCCTGTGATTCAACATTTAGTAATTAGGTTAGAACAGCAGGAAAATAAGAAGAAATATTTTTCTGTTTGAATCTAGGTAGTTTTTTGCCACCCGCTCTCTACAACATTGCTCTAGATTATTGAAATTTGCTGAAATTTACAGCCTCTTCAAGGTTCTATAGGCAATGTTTAATCAGGCTGTGGTCAGGGCTTTGTATGGACCATAACTGAAGTATCAGTTTAATTTTTAAACTTTTGGTTGTAGATTTGAAACTGTGCTTTGGATCATTTTCCAGTTGACAACCGACAAATGCTATTTTATCTGACTGCTATATACTGTATTATACCGAGGAGCTTAATGGATAGT